CAACAACAATAATAATAATAATAATAATAATAATAATAATAATAATAATAATAATAATAATAAATATATGAAGTGCAGACTCAAGTTTAAAATCTAACAAAGAATAAGATGAAGACACTCGAAGCTGCATGTCAAAATCTGGGCTCTTATTTTAAACGTCACAGGATTTTGTCATAGGTTGTGGAAATTACTATTAATTGCGTAATTTCCGCAAAGCCTCATTTTAAGGCGAGTTGCCCTATCACTGCAAAAACAGTGCGTATGCTCATCAGACACAGTGGGCCTGCCTCACCACAGTGTGACTTACACTCTGTTTATTTCTGTATTCATCCTTTAAAGTGGCTTAAAATGTGGGTAAAATACTTTTGCCCTCCTGCACAATTGTCTTTGTTGCCTCCAAAATGCAGTCGCTCAGTCGCGATTAAATGAAACGTTTTAATAGGACTTATCGCGCGGGTTTAATCAGATGAGAACCAATGGCACTTTGCAATATGAATCCATTTCTTGCTAATCTGCTCTGCACCTTTGCATATTTTTTTCCCCAATTAGAGGCACAGGATTTGTTGACGTCATGCTCATCTTTGGCCAATAGCAGGGCCTGATGAGGTTTGTTTAAATAATGGAGATCAAGAAGCTGGAGTTCCATTTATGCCCTAAACATGCTTTGAAATTTTGGAGAAAAGGGTCCAAATGAAGACTTAAAACCAGGGGTTTTGGCTCATTTAAACTTTTAAAGAACATATATATATATTTTTTAATGTTCACAAACTTCATTTTGTGAACACATGGTGTTAATAATAACATCATGAAAGCTAAACATTGTGGGGACAATAAGGCAGCAGACAAAATGATGCAATTGTATGAGATTAACAGAATTATATGGAATGCAGCACTTAGGGGACTACGACTGAAAAAGCAAAAATAACTGAAATAATCCAATGCAGTCTGAACATTTTAAAAATCGTGATTTTTTTTTCCATTTTCAGCTTGAAAATCATGAAAAAAAAAATTTATTTAAATGTTAATATTGCACCATCTGCATTCAGAATAATTACCATGAATTACTAATGAGTTAAAAAAAAACTTACTAAACACTAAAATTGAAAACAACAATACTTATTTTATTTTAAATTGATGCTGCAAAACATTTCTAGTTTTCTAGATAGAAATAAAAAAAAGCATTAGGTTATTGTTGTAGCCTTAATTAATGTAAAATATGATTGCATTAAAAGAATAGCCTACTGAAGTCTAATAGTTTTGTAAAAGACTACTTAATAATAAGTGGAAGTTATATCTTAACATTTAGTTTTTAAATATTCTGATTCACTTAATGTAGACTATAGCTAAAATACATCAAATGAGCTATTAATAGTATTGCATTTTTTGTGTATGTGTGTGAGAGAGAGATCGCATGTATCTGTGTGTATTTATTTCTAAGTCACAGTGTGTAGTTTGATGTTTTCTGCAGTTATCTACTGAACATCTGAAAGCACACACACACACACACACACACATACCTAAATGTTCTCCACTGAAGCAGCAATCTAAGAGCTAAGGCATGTTTCTGCTTTTAAAGGTCTTTGCTTTGTCCTTGTGGATTGAAACAAAGGACATTGATGAAGAACAGTGTAATGCTGACAGCCGTCTAAATGGAAACAAAATACTTTGAAATCAAAATATTTTCAGGCATTCGAAGAAGAAAAAGAAGACCTTCTGTAAATTGTAATCAAGAGGGAGAACAATGGCCGGGTGATTTGTTATTTGGTAACGAAGATGTAGCCATCTCTGGTAATGCCAGTCAGGCTGTGTGTTCGCAGGTTTGGGTGTGCGATGAAGACTGAGGATATTGAGTTAGTCTCTCATTCTCTCTCAATATCTCTCCATCTTCCTTCAGTCAGTAAAGCTTTACTTGGTGGTGGCGTTTGTGGGGGAGGAGCCTGCCACAACAGGGATCTGGGCACACAGAGCAGCCTTAATTAGATGGGGCCTCGTGCCATGTGCCACCACAGCATGTGTGAAAGGGAGTGTGTGTGTCTGTGAGTGTTATAGCATAGTCCGTAGCCATGTAGGATAAGATTTGTTTTGTGTGTGTTTAGTTTTGTTTTTGCATGGTCTCTGGACACATTTGGATACTAAAGGGTATGTTTAGCACTTGTTCTTTCATGATATGTAGGAGAATTTATCTCTACATATATATATATATATATATATATATAACCCCCCCCCGATCTATGCTTTGGCGCCAACCACCATCATTGGCTGACTGCTTTGGCATCAGATAATTTAAATGAAGACAAACCAGTTCCTTTTGTAGTCAAACAGCCGGGATCTTCTTTTAATTTAAAAATGCATTTGGGTCATGGCAGGGGGCGGTGTTTGAAGCCATCACCCTCCTATGGAGCTAGTCAGCGGGTGAGGCGGGTGCGCTGTAGGGATGGGCGCTGGGCTGGAGAAAGGAAGGTTGTAGCCTTAGTTGGTTTGGACTTGCTCAGCAACCTTTTTTTAAATTGGTGCCTCTTGCTGATTGTTTGACTTGTTGGGTTTTTAATATACAGGCGTTACTCACAGGCCAATCAAAGCTTTTGGCGGACAAAGGGAAGTTTCCAATTGGTCGAGGTTGTTTGAGGCGGAGAGAGGGAGCCACATGATGACATCATAAAATAAAGGGTCAGGACATTTAAGGGCTGTTGTAGGATGAGCGAAGAAAAAAGGCCGTAAGCCACAAAAGAAATGCTATGAACTGCTCTTTGATTTTTCTCTCCCTAAAATCAGACTTTTGACATGATTTTTAGCTCCGTCTCAAGTTAGTTTGTAATTCTTAAAATCATTTTATAAAAAGCAGTGGAGACATATAATGATATAATAGGTTTTAATTAACAACCCTCTCCTCTGCTTATAGGTCAGAACTTGGCCCATGTTACTTCGCCTGCAGATTGAGAGGATGGGTAGCCTTAGGGGTTGGTTGTTATCTTTGGTTATCTAGCTGTATGAGTGATGTACATTCTTCATAAAGCTAGATAACCGAAAGTAACAAGAATCCCATTACACTCCTGAAAAGGCATCAAGACCCCAAATGCGCCTCCCTGCAAGAAAATGCAAACTTTGCCAGAAGAATTGTAACATGAGAGAAGAAAATGGACTACATTTTAAAGAAGACGGGAATGCGATGCAACAAAAGGTAGGCTGCATGTTTTTCTTGTGTCTTATCTGTTGGTGATGGAATGTGTGTGAATACATGTGTGTGCCTTTTGTTAAACTCAAGTCTGAGGCCCCTTTTTTGATCCATCCGCAGCTCGTAATGCTGGGTACCGTTGTTAGTCATGTACAAATAAATGGGACATTGCTACACATATTTCCTTTAGCTCTCTGTAGCCAGTGGCAGTGATCCATAACAGTAAGGTTGGTACAACAGGATCACTTTTAATCTAATAAGCCCCATGATCCTTCTGTGTGGGGCTGCATGCATGGGTTTAGACTTAGTATCACATGGTTAGGAGTGACAAGCTTGCTAAAAAAAACAACCCCACACCGATTCACCAAAGCAACTTGTCTCTGATTAGCCTACACCAAGTGACTAAAGGACTTGCCAGTTTACTGGCTAGTTTGGACAACGCTCTATTTATTTGTCTCCATGTAATTCAGTCTTACTGCTTGCATTTTTGGCATTAAGAGACCATGCAATATGAAAAGAATGTGGGCCTTTGAGCTGCATACGGTGCTATGAATTATACATATGTTCCAACTTGGATTGGATTGTGTGAGTTAAGAATGGTCCCTCCGAGTTAATCTGGTCTCCCAACGCCCCACTGGCAGCTAAGCGCACAGACAAGAATTTGTTTGAGGCCAGTTTTGTTAAGTTAGCTGTTGTTGATTTTTTTTCTTCTTCGTTCCACCTACTCCCTTTTTCCTTTTGCATGAAAAGATGTTTAATTTGGGGTCCTGGCCGTTGTTTGATTTGACGTGACAGTTGGCTTGGTTGTGAATGGGCCGTGGCAAAGCCTCCATTGCATGAGGTGCTACCATGTGGAAAGGCCCGATGGGATCTCACTGAATGCTGCTGTGTGTACGTGTTGGGTTCAGAGGGGGAGTGGTCCAAGGGCAATCAAGCAGAAAGTACCCCTAGTGACAAGATCCACGAGTGAGCGAAGGAGAACAATCTCAGCCTTTAGGTTCTTTGCCTGGACTCATGGTGAGGAGTAATTGGTCAATCAGATCTTCAACCTCAAGGCCTCTGATGGCTGATTGAAGGTGTGATTTCTGTTCTGCCCATCAAAGCTGGAGGGTTACTCCTGCTGAGAAAGGCCACTAAGAATTGTATCCTAGGTCTCAAAGCTCTGGTGGTACATAGCGAATTCCACGTGTGGCGTGCTATCTCATTGTGGTGCAGCTAAAACATCACCCTCGGGTTTGGATATATTTAGCTTGACAGGGTACAAATTCTAAACAGTTGTGCAGGACTGAAGTGAAATTACTAAAAGCTTGTGAGGCAACCTTACCTCGCAATGTCAATCTCTTCGAGCCCTGCGGTTGTGCCTGCCTGCTGCATTGCAGGTGCTGAGTGTGACACTTGAGCTTTGGGCTCTGCTAGTAAGAGAGAGGAACGAGGGCCCTGACAGGAAGTGACAGCCAGAGATGTCACCTTCTTGGATGGCAAAGTAGTACCTGGTTCTCTCTCTGTTGTGTTGCTACGTCCCTACATGTCCTTTTCCCCTTTATTTCTTTAGTTTTACAGCGTTGTATGTAGGGCTTTTTATCACATAATGCAACTGATAGATTAATGATTGTGCGTGCCCAATATCCAGACTCCTGTATATCTACACAGGTGTGGTTTGTATTTATGAAATTAGCATATAACAGGTGTAAGGCAGAAATATTTTGTGCATTGTGGAGAATAGTTTTCTCCCTTTGCATCTTTTTTGTGTCAGTTACACTGTTGGGTCTAAATGGAAACTGAAGTCTTGGACAGATTGTGTTTATACCCTAAGCAGTGCCCTGGGAGACGCATGTCATGGTACAAATGCTTTGTTCTGGCTCGGTGTGTGGCACAGTTATATCACTAACACTTCACACTAGGGAACTTAGTGCAGAAACTGTATTAGCTTATGCTTGCCTGAAAACAGCATAAAGATAGGAGAGTTCCTCAAAAACACCTTAGGGCCTTTGCTCTCTCTTTTTCTCTGTCCCATGGCAGTGTTGGAAATAGAAAGAGGGCGCGAGGAGAAAGCATGTAAAGGAAAGCAGCCAGGGAGAGGAAAGAGAAGGAGGAGGGTGGTGGGTTTGTCTTAGCTTTCATGCACTGGGCAAGCAGATTTAGACTCCAAGTGTCAAATAGAAAAACAGCCATTGTGGTCGGGTCCTACTTGCCCCCCCATAAGTAGACTTTACAGTCAATAGAGCTAGTCCACTTGTCACTGAGGGACAATGCACCCCTTTGCCTCCCTTTCAGGCCTGCCGGGTCCGAGCAGCCAGACAGCTTTCTGAATAACCCAGTGATTCTTGGCCCCTTTTCTCTGCCTCTCTTTCTCTTGACGGAACACACCAACAGGGCTTGGAAAATGGCTTCACTGTTGGGCCAGAGTGTAAGGACAGACCCTGTTATTTTCTACAACACTGGCATTCCCTCCACCCCCTTATGCACGCATAGAAATGAATGTATCTTGGGCAGTTGCAAAAGTCAATGGGCCTCCTCAGACAAAGGAGATTAAGTTTGGCAACTTAGCAGTAACAGGTGTACTTTGACTGAGCTCGGACCACACGGGGGGTGACTGTCGTTGTCTTACCCACTTGCTCTGTTTGTCTCCTTGTTGGTTTTTAGTTGCATGGATGTAAAAGTTACGTTTGTGTTGCGTTGTCAGAAGACAAGAGCGCCTCAGACCTTGTTGACTTAGAAGTTTTAGTTGAGCTGTCCAGCACAGGCCTCTTATCATTTTCACTGCATTTGAAAACAAAGCTTAGTTTTGCTACATTTCTCCCATGCCAAGTTTTCTCCGAAGGGATTCTGCAGATATCTTTAGAACTCAAGCAGTGCTCACCCAAGGGAGCGAGTTAAGGGTAAACAATGCGGGCACACGGAGAAGAAAGAAGTATCAGAGGGAGTGCGGCACTGCACAGAAGCATGAATACATTTTCACATTTAGAACTGAGACATTGATGTTTTAGGAGGGGAACTATCATTTAAAGAGAATGAAGCCTTTTCTGTACATACCTTCAGTATTTTCAACCATAATAAATCAAGCCATTCAGCATCAGTACAAATAGAGACACTCTCAGAGCCAGAGCAAAACAGTGCATGCATTTGTTTGTTTCAGTCATTAATAAAGCTTTTACTGAGAGCCTCGGTCCTCAGAAAAGCCCATTCTGGTGAAATGACTTGGCAAAGCATCCGATGGAGGGTCTGTTCAGACTGAAGCTGCTCCCGCTCCCATTGTCTAGCTCTCTCTCACACACCTACGAGTCCAGAGTAAGCACACAATTTCATTGTTGCGTGAGCTGTTAATATCAGAGGCTTCACAATAGAGCCCATTCGCCATATTTGCATAAGGCACTTTTCCAACAAGGACCCAGAGAGGGCTTGAAAGCTGGCCCACTCTAGTGCCAATGGCAAAAAAATGTCAAGTGCCAATTAGGAGAGGTTTGCCACCATTCAGCAATACCCCACCCTTGTAGTCCTTCCCCTCCCTGCTTACCCACCCCAACTCTCTCACACTCCAAGTCACCCCTGGTTTTACCACCTTATTCCAATTTCAGACGTGGCCTTCCCCTACTGACACCCCGAGACAAAAGCTGGCTCCCTCCTCTCTGGCTAATGGAGGATCCTTTCTGCTTGGCTCAGAGTATTAGTAAAATCAGACAGCATGGTCCGTTCACCGATTAGTCAGCTTTCTTTGTTGATTACTTTGAATAGGGTTCAAGAACTATGCAAGATACAGAGTCCACCTGCTTGGGAATATTGAACTTAGCAAGCTGGCTGCACTGTGCTACTTTTGTTTTAGACTCCCAGGTTTGCATGTGCAGGTGTGGGTAATTGAGGGAAGGATTGTGGCAGAGACAGACGCTGATTTAAACAATTAACAATTCCCCCTTTCATCTGAAATCCACAGTGGTTGTTCTGTGTTAGTGCTAATGACATTTAGCCACCTAATGGCTTGCTTTAAGCTAGTCGTGCTTATTATTTTGCACGGATGCACATAGAAACATAGAGAAATGCTGCAGAGACACTATTTAAATTTAGAGTGTAGACTTTAAGTCAGCCTTAAAGGCTTAAGGAAAAGTAGATTTGCTACATGAAATCCAAGTTAGCTCAACTGGTGAGCATGTAAAGTACTCAACTACTGTTTATAATTCTATCGATGCTGAAATGCTACATTATTTCCATTATTTCCATGCTTAACTGCAGGTGTCAGATGCAAAGTATGCGGTGGAATGGTGGATTTAAAACATTAACTGTGTTCTTGAATTTTAGGTGATATATTGTTTATGCAGGAAAAGCCTTTAACATCAAAAACCTGGAAAAAAAAAACTTGCATTCTGTAAAAAACAAGGATGCAGTAAATCGAATGAAAAAATTAGGTCATAGACACAATAAAAGAAGGTAATCGTGTTTGCCCAATTGGTCTGGCGTTGTTTTCAGCAGAGCGTTTACCTAACTTACCGCCTCCTGCCACTCAAAAGGATTTTTCTCTTGTCGCTTTTTCTCTTTCTTTCTTTTATTCAATCTCTGTGTCTAGTTTTTTTTTCTTTCCCACCCTTGATTCTCAGATGGTTGGATCTGATTTGCATGCATTTACATAATGAAAGTCATTTGCATGCTCAGGGGCAGACTGTACCATGAGAACAGACATGAAAAGGTGTGTGTGTGTGCGCGCGTGCATTCGTGTGTTTGTATATTTTTGTGAACTGTACATGTGTGCTTTTGTGGATAAGCTACATAGTTTAAATGTTCAATTTTACCCTCTGATTTCTCCATCTATGTTTTCTGTGCAGGCTACCACATTACTGAAGGAAAGCTGGCAAAAGAAGACTGAAAAACAGAGAAGGAGGAGGGGTTGTTGTTGATTCTGCCCTCCCTCTCTCCTCGCCCTCCACTGCATTGCCTCTTCCCTCCTCCTCTTCCCTTCCTCATCCACTCCATCCTCAGCAGACTGCCCCTTTTTCCTGTACAGCGAAACGCAGCCCGCGCCACCATCTTAGAGCAACGCTGGCATGAAATGGAAGTGGGAAGACCAGTCAGTGCAGGTAACACACCAAACCCACTGCGCCCGCCATGCTTCATTTTTCTATTGGCACCTCCCTGACTCTCCATCATATCGCAATATCTCCATCTCTCCGTGCCCTCGCGCCTTCTCCGGCGTGATGTACCCTCCGTTTTAATTGCCTCTGATACGTTTGTTAATTGCACGACTCATGAGATGCGCTGATGGGAAGGAGGGGAGGGTTGATGTGGGTGGAGCGTGTTTTGTATGTGCGTACACATTAAATCACTCCGCTCTCAATGCCTCTCTCAGGAGGCGTTCAGTGGGCATCTGTCCTCGAAGCGCCAATGTTTCTTTCCCGTTTGGGAATTCTGATGCCATCCTCACATGCCTGCCCCGACATGGCGGCGCCTGCCATTTTGGAGCTACGATGCAATCCGTGCCTTCTGGACGACAGACAAGCACAGCTGATTACTCCATAAGTTGAGCAGCTTAGTAAGACAATTTTAGTCACTGAACCTAAAAAACTGTGATATAATATTTAATGATTTTGACAGTAATCTGTGACAGAGGTATGGCTTTTTAAAATAATTCTAAAAATCTCCCTTCAGCTCTTTAAATGAGGTCAAAAGAAATGTCAAGGTGGGCAACATCGGTTGAGTGGAAGTTATGATTCATAGTCTTTTACAGGGACACTGCAGCACATAAAAAGCCCAAAACAAAGCAGGAGAGAGGCAGAAAGAGGCAGAGAGAAAAAATAAAGACAAGATGGTGAAGTTGTAAGAGCATGATAGGCAGATTTAGTACTGAAAAGTCTCTCTTTAAGTGAGTGGTGAGTATTGGAGGGCAGTCGGTGCTCAGACAAGTTGAGTATTGTTCTCCTTGCATGAGCTCGTTGTGGTGCGGCATTTTTTCAACCGGGGAGCTCCCAACGTTGAAAACCGCTTAAACCAAAACACCAATTAGCGTTAGCTGGGCTTGATTAAGTAAGATGGCTGGTAAACAATGCTTACTTTTGTCATCTTAACACAGAAACCTCCCTTTGTTTGTGCCTGTGGCGTGTGGGTCAGATAGACTGTGCTAATGGTAACTTATAGTAGGATGCCTGGGGCTAACAGAGAAACTGCCACAACCCCCAAGTCATGGTAAAAACAGCAAAGGAGACTTGGCAAAGACAGGAAACATCTCAACATCAAATTTTGTTTTCTTTTAAATAATTTGGCCAAAAATGTTCAATTATATATATGTGTTCTTTAAATTAAATCACTAATTTTCTGTATTTAGACAGAATACACTGTTAATGATTCCAGTTCCCCAATTAGGTCAAACTAAGCTTAATTAATTTGAATATTTGACGATGCCGCCTTAAGCGAAGGAGTCGCTTGGCTTTCCTGAGAAGTCTTGTGGTAACTGTGTCAAACGCAAAGTGCACTAATCACTGCCAGGCCTCTATAAACAGGTGGTAGATTGAGCAAAGGGGGCCGAGGCCATTCTCAATTTACTGTGTAAATTATGCAGAGCCCAAAACAATGCAAACAGTAGACAGTGGAGTGGCTGGCGTTGGCTAATGAGATGATGAGAAGCCTGGGAGGCCTGCGAGCTGATAGAGGAGAGGGGGTGGGCATGGCTTGTGTCTGGATCGGTGTATTCATGTGTGCGTCTTTGTGCGAGTGTGTGTGAGGGTCTAGAGGAGCTTTGGCAGGGGAGCAGACACTGTCCCGCCTGCACAAACCCCACCGTCAGCACCCCTCCTGCCCAGACTGAGTGCTACAGGGGGAGGGGAGGGTTAGCAGGCAGCTGGGGCACCCTGCCCCCATTGCTCCTGCAAGAGCACCAGGCTTGGGAACCTCGGTGGCAGGGGTCCCCCCAACACTGGCACGTAGGGGGCCCCCAAAAGTCTGGCTGCAAACCCCCATCTCCACCAATCCCCCCACCCCACCGTCTCTTGTCTCCCCAACCATCTCCACCCCTCCTACCCTAATGTAAGGCTCGGGGCCTGGGAAGGACTTCAAGTTCACGGCCAGACCTCCTATTGAGCTGACAGCCTGACTGTTTGCTCAATTCGGCTCCCTATTCAGGACCATACTGGAGGGGGGTGCTGTTGAAAAAAGGTTGGAGGATGCAGGAGGGTGTTGCTAGACAGTGTGGGACACTGTAGCACTGCGATAGCTATTCATTCAGCAAGGGGAGACAAGTAAAGAGCGGGGGGGAGAGAGTGAAGTTGGAGGAGGGGGGTTCAAGTCGGGATGCATAAATAAAAAGTGAGGAATCCAGGCTCAAAGTTTGCTTTGAGCAGTGTGCGCCTCTCTCACACTCTTTTAGACTCTTAATTACCGGCGCCTTCCACTTTTCTCTCTCCCTTTTCTCTAACTACACCCCCCTCCTCATCGCCATCGCACACACCCTCCTGAACACACACACACAAAATGGCAATGGCAATCATTCTCATCATCCTCTCTATCCCCTGGTTTTATTAGGCCACATGCTGGGGCTGTAAATTTACCATTAACAAGCTTATTCACTGTAGTCCTCTCAACAAAACAAGACCATGATGCCAATAACTCAAAGCGACACCAATACCCGAAACTGCCTTTTATGTCGCCAACCTCTACTGTTAGCCACTCCCTGCAGCCCCCACTCTTTCCTCACTGGCAGAGAGCACCCTCACACCATAATGCTAAATGCCAAGGCTAACGTGATGCTTGTTAATAGCTCAGACAATGGTAATTAGCGCAGTGGTTGTTGATTTAAGCTAGATCTAAGCTAGATGGACGCATTATTGGCTAATTCTGAACTTGGTGACCTGCTATAATATTTTAAGTTGCTTGTCTGAGCTGCTCGAAAATGTAACAGAAAAGGGGGTTTGATGGTCTTCTGAAGTCCAACTTAGCCTAGCTTAGGGTGTGTCACATGCTTCCTCTTTGTATTAGCAGCTTGTAGCGTACCAGGCTCCTGTTAAGGCCTTTCAACTTCAGTCTCAATCCCCTTGGCTGGTACACGAAGCTGTACTTAACTCGGCCAGATTTAGGACACACAAGGAAGAAAAACCTAATAAGTATTTTTTTCATGTTTAAAGAGCACTGAGAACAAGCCTTCTTTTGATACATAAATTGGACTTCACAGTCCATTGTCTCAAATAATTGTTTTGACATTCACATGATTGGCCTCAAGGTGTGTTTTGACTCATTCTTTTTATTTTTTTTATTTTTAGATAAACGTGATTGGTGCAGGGGGATCCAGAATGGACAGAGCACACAAAAGGAGGACGGTGGGACTCCTCCTTCATTCGCTGCCTTTTAGCTGGAGTAAACACGGAGGATGGCGATGCTGTCTGCATGCGAGCCGGCAGTGATTCCTGCCATAACTGTGGAACGCTGTGTATGTCTCCTTGATGCATCGCTCGAACCAACACTCAGCCTGGACTGCTTGTGAATGACTTTTGGTGTTTTAACTGAGCAAACATCATCGTGGACTCCAATCATGGAAACCTGTGGGACTCGTTGGAAAATAAGCAGCCCGAAGGCTGGAGGAACTGCTTGATAATTGTGACTCTTAATTCTTTTATTTGTAGATGTGGCACTGAATTTTGTAATTATTATCCTATATTTGATTGTAAAAAAATATTGTTTAGACATGAAGGAATATAATCTGTCCTCAGCTGTCATAGGCTCCACTTAATGTAGGTTGTATTTGATGATTTGTAGCCCATATTTTGCTCATTTTCTCTTTTGTTATAGTTGCTAGGACTCAAAAGACATGTGAATGTGAGACCCACGGCAGCAGTGAATAATACTGCACTGCGATTGGACAGCTCCGTGTGTCAGCTGACACAATGGCGAAGGAGTGAGCTGTCGTCTTTATACTCTATGCAACTGTTCTCTTTTTTTCCTTTCTTTATTGTTTAGGGGAAAATAACCTTTTCATATTTATTTTGGATTATGTTTTGAGCCATCAGTTTACAGAAATTCCTTCAGACATCATCAAGAGAAATGGTTTATGAGGTGCTGACGTTCCAGTTATTAATATAGTGAAACAGAAATTACAGTCAGGATGTGTGTGTGAGTGTGTGACAGATGACAGGATACAGCATTTTCATCAGTGGATGGATTGAATCTCATATTTGCAGCTTTCGACTGTGCAGCCATGAGCCAGAGTCTGAGTAAATGTGGACTCAAGCATTTAATATTCCTGATGGTTGGAGTGTGTTTGATCAGCAGGAAGTAGCTCTGCGTGTATACAGAACATGCCACACTATTAAAAGCTGCTCCCTATAGCAGTCGTTGAGGCACAGCAGTTTGGCACATAATAGTTACCTGCTTTAGTGTAATGATACATCTTTGGGTGAGACATGACAAATACATTGGCTTCAAACACTGCCTTAATTTCCTGTTCTTGACATTAACACACAGCGACACACACGCCCGCACACACACATGCACCCAAATGCAATAAGGCAAGTACTATCAGGGCCTAATTCATTCTATATTAATTTTCGGGAAGTGGCAAATTTTTTATTACGATTGATAATCTATGCAAATCTTTTAAATATTACTTTAGACAATCTATGTCTATGCAGCGCTTTTGCAATTGATTCAAGGGAGACTATCTTGGCCTAATTTAGAAAATGTATTCTTTTGATAATCATGCACATCCCAGTGCTCAAGACAATTACTTATCTGCCTGGATAAGCTTGAAATTATGTTTTTAATCTCTAGCAAAAAAAAGTCACTCTTCTGAAATCAGTCCAGAGGCTTGAAAACCATGAATTGTGGTCTAAAATAATTAAATCAGTTGCACTAAATCTCCCTTTTCCTTAAATGTAGATCAAATATATCTATTTAGCTTTGAATAGCATACTGTTTATATAAGCAACAATGTTTGTATTATGCAATCTCATCTTTGTGAATGAGTGTTCACCACACGTGCCTTTGTATGGAAAACTGTTGAAATAGTAATAAAGGTTTACAATGAAAACAATGAAACATGTCTTGTGCATGCTTTTGATCAGTTTTGGTTGCATATCGCTGGCTGGCAGGATCGTCTAGTGATAAATGGAAAAGTACATTAATCAGCCGCATATAGTGCTGAAGTGTCCTTGAGCCGTGGCTGAGCCTGGTCAGCAGTGATGTAATTCACTGAAAGAAAGAAATATAAATGTAAATAACTGTCCTTAAAATGAGAGACAGAAGAGGTTACAGTTTTCTAAAATTAAAAATGGAAAAATCTATAAAAACAAACAAAACCTAAATGTGCTTTTCCTTAATGATTTTGCTGCTTTAGTCACATCTAAAGAGAAATCTACCGCAGTTCAGTTTCAGCACATCGTCACTGCCAAATGAAAAGATTATAACAATTCCCCCGAGATCAAACAATTTTCTAAACACCATCAGGGATGTGGGTGTTCATACGCAACCTACACTGGAGAGAAACAGAACAGTTCTGTCCTCTTTTGGTGTAAAATTAATCAGGACAAAGGCGCTCTCTCTAGTAACCAATAAAAATCTTAACCTTGGTGTTTGTTGTGAATGAATGATGATGAATAATAAGCCAGCCACATGTCATTTAACCTGCTGTTATTCCAAGTTTGGGGAAAATAAAGAACCCATAGCACCCTCACCCTGGATTGTGATAATCTGTGTGCAGCGCTGTCGCTTTGCGAGCTGCTGTGTGCTGCACAAAACACTTCCCCTACGTGATTTGCTGTCTGACACCACATATGGCGAATGCGCCAACACCGACATATGGGCCCCTCACAATTCATTAGCATTGTCATGTAAAAAAGGGTAATCCCACTGTAAAACAAATGAAATGTAACCCTTTACAGTACAGGTTGATTTGGCAGCTCTTTTCATTCATTCCCTCTCTTTTATGAAGTCTCATGTAATTCAATGAAAGAGGTTTTTAACGCAGCTTCGATGCACCCCCATGGGTGTCTGCATTCTCGGTTTGTAGCAGCCGAGGCTTTACGAGCTACTCTCCTCTTGTTTACAGCTGCGCTGCACGTTCAAATGAGCCATAGTACACATAAACAGCAGCTCCATGCAAATATTACAATGCCCTTATTAACCAGGGCAGGCGGCAATTACATTATGTCCCAGGCGTTAACATCCAAAGAGCTAGCATGGTCCTCTGTGACAACTCCACTCGCCCTCTGTGTTTCTTGGCTGTGTTATGGCCCTCATAATCTGATTCACAGTTTTTGTCATTCTGCCAAGAGGCAAGCTGCATTAGCCAAGCACTATAGGCTTTAATGAACTGAGTGTCAATGTTAAGCATACTAGAGCAAGCCGGAGTGACGGCGTACAACCGGGCTGTCGTTTGCAGCCATGTTGGATCACAGTCAAAGTTCTAGCTGCTCAGAATTAAAGGTTTGTCGGGCCGCTGAGTAAAAAACGAAAAAGTTGACCCTGCATTTTGCTTTGTGCAGTTGGCATCCTAAATGACAGTAAGTCTTGTGTTTGGGGAGCTGTGTTTATAGCGATGGGGTGTGGCTTCCTTTTGACATATAGCACAAAATGGCTGCTCACAACGGCCAATCATGAGACTGAAGAAATTGATTCCAAGATGGCGTCTCAATGACATTAACATGACTTGGAGCAGATTTAAAGAAAAACTGCAAAGGGGTCCGCAGAACAATTTGATTGACGAGAACACAAGGAGCCTGGTGACAAGAGGGGGTCCAAAAGTGGGAAATGGCGGGGTTTGGTGCACGTCCAAGGTCTTGGAACTGGTGTGATGCTTTGTGATGAACTTTCACAAGTTGCTCAGAATTGCATTGGTATGCAGGAATGCAACCCTAGGAGGCCATTCTGTGTGATTTTGGGGGGAAAACATGTTTGCAACTGGTTGCAAGGACAGAGGATGTGTGTGTCTTTGGATGCTGTCGTAGCTGGAGCCAGAAAAAGTGGGCGTCCGTCCAGATCTGTCCACCTTTGTGAGCTGCTTCGCAGTGTGGCAGCTGGTCATTCTGTTCATAGAGCAAAGACAAAATGACATCAGAAGCTCTGAAGGATATGTTGTCGAGCGTGATGTTTCATTTATAATAAATAAAGAATAAAGCCGCGGACGTGTGTGTGTGTGAGCAGAGAGTTGGTCTCTTCGGTGTGGAGATTATTGAAGGATTTCTTGATAAGCAATCTAACGAGTGGCAGCTAGAGGATCAAATTTTAGCGCCTTACACACACACGCACACACACACACACACACACACACACACACACACACACACACACACACACACACACACACAGTGTTCGCATGGGTAAAAAGTGGCTTATGCCATTCAGATAAAATTTAAAATGTTATTAAACACGATTGTTCCACTTTGATTATCAGATGATTTATTTTTCCTATAAATACATTACCATCATGAAGCTGAAAGGGCAGACGGAATGGACAGCGGGTCTGTAAGTCAGACTGGAACGAGTATTTCTTCATTTGAAAAATAGTCTGAATAACTGCTTTTCTAAATAGAGAACATATGATTGGAAAACCATGTATCACGATGTTCCTCTTGTGTGCTTGGCAATGCTTTTGTTCCTAGTAGTGAAGAAATCTGGAAATCTGACAACTAGGGGGTTCGAGCTGCCAAATAAGGAGACTCATGGGAACTCCAGTAACACTGACTTAATGATTTTCCCTTTTCTGGAAAAGCATCTTTCATGCTTCTGCTCCTATACATTTCAAAAGGGAAACGATGTATTACTTTCGAGCTGAAAATCTTGATACTGCTTACTTTGAATATTATGATGCAACATAAAAAAACATGCAAACATTTGATGATTAGTAACAGCATACAAAAATAGTTAAACCACCATAAGGTGCTATGAATGAGCATAATTAACAAATAAGTACTGCTGCATTAAATGCTGTATAATTTATCGATTATGCTCCATCCTGAATGTTTCTACTTTAAATATTTTTAGTATCATTTGCTAATACACTGTAAAATCTGATTAGTTCCCAGAACTTGAAAAAATTACACAAACTTGTTGCCTCAAAAACACTAAGTAAAGTTTACTTAAGTTAAACAAGTTAGGGTAGTACTATTTAGCAAACCTAAGCAAAACAGTGAATACTGGACTTTCACTAGTAATGTTGAAATCATATTTAAATGACTGGATGTTAGCTATGTTGTTGCACTTCACAAAATAACCTTCATTTTTTTGAAGCTGAGATTACATAGCACGCACTCTTATAAAACGTTCACATTTAACCCAAACTCCTGTTTAAACTTAGACATCCCCCATTACTCTTCACGTTTCACTGACATGAAAAATTGTGACATCATGTTTGACTGCATAAGAGAAGGGAGGTAAATGACACCAGTATTGACGTGTTTTTGTATTTCTCAGGATGGCAACTCAGTACCATAATCTAGCTTGCAGCTTGACATCCCTGCATTTTTCAGTTTGGCTAATGGAGTTTGGAAAGGTAATAGAATTGTGTGCAGTAAACGAGGACCTTCAGTGTTTCAGCCTTACTTAAAAGTAAAAAAAAAGTGAGAGTGACAAGGTTTTTACCTTTGCAGGATGACATTTCAAATTGAAGTTTTGTCATCTGCACAGGTAGCAGTTAAAACATTAAGCTTAAAATCCTCTCACACCCCAAAGCCATCACTTGGAGCTTATTTATGTATAAAATGAAGGAGAAATACTCAAGCAGGAGAGGCTAGTAAAACTTGCAGCTTAGGCCTGATGAGTTAGACGTCCGGATCACTGAGGATGCTTTTTCTTGAAGGCGAGCGAGCCCTGTTGTGGAATGTCAAGTAGTTTGGCCGGGGCGGGTGACTGAAGCGGGAAGTGATTTGACTAATGTTTTTCCTTTCATAGGGCTGCTCTCCACCACGTCCCCCTCTGTCCTCCCCAACCGCCAAAAACCTCCCCAGAAAACTTTACGGTGATGTCATTCATATGCAAAACAGGCATGCTTTTAGCTAGTGAATGTGTGTGCATGCGTCTGTGAGCAAGTGTGTGTGTGTATTGCTTGAGTGGCTGATTCCATTACTTGAAGGACCATTACACTTGCCTGTCAAAAGCCAAAAGACCTGAGAAAAATTAGCAGATTAAATCACTCTGCTCCTCTCCTCCTCTCCTTCCGTCTTCTTGCCCCCGCTAGCATCCGAGTTGTTGTTCATACCATGGAGGTGTTTTGACAAAATCAAAAATGCAGTGCAACTCCTTTGAAAGCTGCTTCATTTTTGATCAGTGACAGGTCCTAATTTTGGAGACAAATCTCTTAAAAATGACAAAAAATGAAAACAATGATAATGGTGCAAGACACAATCAGAGCAGAGCTCCTGGGAACGTGAGTAGCTTGGAGGCAAAATCCTATAAACAGGGGCAACTAGGGAGACGGAGGCTAAATGTGGTTTTATAGTCTTGTAAAAATTAAATGACACGTTTGGGGATCCGGTACACATTTATTGAAGCAGTTGGGTGAAAGTTAAAATGCTGGTCAGGGTTCAGAAGATTAAAGATTGGAGAATTCCTGAAAATCATCAGTTCTTTGATGGCTTTAATCACAAATCTTGCTCATAATGCTGTAACAGACTTCAGCTTTTATACCTACAGTAGTTATCCTTTGCCCTGTGATAGGACAAATCCTGCAGTGCTTCTCTCCTTAAAAACAAAAGAATAAATCCCAGATCCAGAATGTGGGAATGAACACCCCCCCCACCCAACCACCCTGGGGGTCAGATTAGCATTCTGGGAAAACAAAATTCCCCACTGGAGTGTGGGGAGTTTGCACAGAGCAGATGGGTACACACAAAATCAGAAATACAGGGGGAAGTGGTTACAGAAGAAGACGAAGAGGAAGAAGAGGCTTGGCCCCCGGGGAAGATGGAGGACAGAGCGTTGGGTGGGGAGGAGTTGGTTGTGAGAGAGAGGCGCGAAGAGTTAATGCCGACAGCTCAACAAAGGCCGCCACCACCGCTGAGGGCAGAGAGGAGCACGGGAAAAGAGCTAAGGTCA